GATAAGAACTAAAGAGAAAGACAGAATATAAATTTGAATAAAACCATGGAGAATAAGAAGAAGACGAGAACAAAAAATAGTGAAGACGAATAATGATAATAAAAAAAGGAAGTTGGAATTGAAAAAGAAAACCCGAAGAAAAAAATGAAAAATGAAGAAACAAAGTAAAAGAAGAAGAAATAGGAAAATGAGGTAGGTCAAGATTAAAAAAAAAAGATGAAGAAAAAACCAGAAGAAGATAAGTTTGACGAAGACCAAAGAGGAATAAGAAGTAAAGAATAAAGAAGGCTAATAAAAATCAAAAAAGAAGAAGAAGAAGAAAAACTGAGAGAATACAAAGATGATGAAGAAGAAGTCAAAAATGATGATGAAGATGAAAGAAAAGTTTGAGGACTAAGAAAATCAAAAGATATATAAGAGAAAGAAGGAAAAAAATACAAGTTAAAGACGATGAAGAAGAAGTAAGAAAATATGAGGAAGAAGAAGATGAAGAATTTGGGATAGAAAAATAAAAAAGGCCTTTAAATTAGAAAATGAAGAAGAAGATGGATAAAAACCAAAGAAAATTAAACGAATAATAAAAATACAAAGAAAAACTAAACAAATAAATAAATAGTAGAAAGAAGAGTACAACAAAATAGAAGAGCTAGAAGAAGGAGACAAATCTGAAGAGGGAATTGAAATAAAAGTAGAAGAAGATGAAGAAGAGGAAAAAAAACATAAGGAATAAAAAATTGAAATTGATGATAAAGAAGAAGGAAAAGACGAAGAACAAGACCGAAAAAAACAAAATTAAAAATCATAATAAGAAAAATTATGAAAAGAAGAAAATGTTAAAAAATAAGAATGGGAGATGATGATGAATTTGGAGAAAGAGAGAAAGATAAAGAGAATTTGAGTTAATACTTTCAAGGACATGTAGATGGAGAGAGAGAGAGAAATAGAGAGAGAGAGAGAGAATAAGAGTTAATTCGTCTTTTCTGTGTTCCTGTTTTTTTAATATCTGAAACATTTTTTACTTAAAATGTAGTTGTCTTAATCGTATAATATATACAACTTAGGATGAGGGAGAAACGGAGAGAGTGATAGAGATATACTGAAACATAGGGAGGGAAAGAGAGAGAGAGAATGATAGGGAGGGATGCATGAAGGGGAGAGAGGGAGTTAAAGTTTTCAGTTACATGTATTTGATTGATATAAAAGGCGAAGGAAAACAAAAAGAATATGAAGTCATAGAGAACAAAGAAGACAAAGACAATGTCGAAGAAGAAGAAGTAGAAGAGGAAGAAGATGCGAAAAAGATGTGGAAAACACGATGAAGAATATGACATGATTAAAAAAAAAACTAAAGAAGAAGAAGTAAGAAAAGACATATAGAATGAAGAAATATTAAAAGAAAATGAAAGGAAACTAAGAATACGTGAGAGAAAAAGAGAGATAAAGGTGAAAGACTATGAAGAAAAATAAAGAAAAGATGATATTAAAGAAAAACCAAAAGATAAATAAAAAGAAAAAATGATGAAAAACGATTATGTGGAGACAAAGAACTCGATTTTTTCTTAGTTCAATAGGTTTTATGAATTTCATACACTTATTTGGTAAGCATTTAAATCTTTAATTTTGGATAAGATTTACTTTTTGAATTTGTTTTATTTTATCATTTATGTCTTAAGTAGTTATTTTAATTTTCTTAGTTTATAACATCAAATTATGTCGTACGTTTTTAAAACCCTTATGCCCGCGCCTTGCGCATAACTGATGAGGATATTAGTCAAAATGTCTTGATCCCACAAATGTTTATTTCTCCCACCGAGACAAGGTTTCCTTTTAGAATGAGGCGTAGAAAATTTTCTATAGTCATCGCCTATGCAATTACTATCAATAAAAGTCAAGGATAAACTTTGCAAAAGGTTGGACTGTGTTTACCAAAACTTGTATTTTCTTATGTGCAATTTTATGTGGCTATATCACGTGTCACTTCGAGAGCTGGTTTGAAGATTCTGATAACAGATACTATGGATATACCACAAACCAATATTTTGACCGTTGTATACAAAGCCGTCTTTCAAAACGATAATATATTTTATTTATTTTGTTTTAAACTTTGACTAATTAAATGGTTTATTTTAATGATACTTTGGTTTACTTATGCTTCAAAATTGATACTTTTGCTCTTTTCCCATTAATGATTGTCCTGATTGTCGAGAATTGATACTTTTATTAAACATAAAACAAATGGAGTGCGAAATCATAATAGTGTTTAAAAATATATATTGAAACAAATTGCAACTTAAAGATCTACGGTATTGACAGAACCGTGCCCAGAGATACAGAGCTCGTAAGCAGATTTTTTAAAAAACCCTAGTTAACCCGTTTTTGTGTTAAAAGCTTTAGTTAACCATCTTCATCTCATATTCATATAAAATCAATCCAATTTATATAAAACCAAATAATAATATTATCATTTCAAATTCATATAAACCAGTAATAACAATGATTATCGTAAACAAAATAAATACAAATTAGAATAACAAATCACAAATCAAACTAAATCTGATATTAGATGAAAGAAAATTATAATTAAAAAAATATATAATAATTGACAAATAGCTATTGATTATGTGGTTGTTCAGAAAGAATAAAAGGAGAGTAAGAAGTTTCCAAAACTTTAACAAAGAAATAAGAAGTTGAAATGGTAATTTGAATTTTAATTTGTCTAATTATTTAGGTGGCTATGTATGTTGCCTATATTGTATTGTGTTATTAATTTAGTTGCTAAATTTATCAAAGAAAACATTTTATTTTCAAACTAAATCTCAATTTAAATAATTAATAATGAACAATTAGTTTAAATTAGATCCTTCAATTTTTTTTATAAAAAAAAATTGGCCCATAAGCCAATGTTTCTATTTTTTGTACATAGGCACGGTCTGGGTATTGAGTACACTAACAAATATTGATGTACATAATGATAATGGTCATAGTTGAAAAAGTGATGGGGTTTTTTCAAAAGTACCATTATCCAACTATCAAAATTTATGAGTTTATTAACGATACATATCACAATAACAACAAATACTCTTCAAAAATTTAAATGTTTATATAAGATATAAGCTTTTCACCATTATAAAAAAAAATTGTAATCAGATTTGAATACATTGCAAGTTCGCGCTTGGCGCGGGTCTTTACCTAGTTAAAAATTAAATATAATGCAGACTAATACACGAATTAGTTCACGTTTTGGATATAAAAATAGATGTACAGTATGACACTATGATTTACTGATTAATAAAAATTAAACTTAATCGATTAATAATAAAAATTTGAATATCTACATCAACCTTTGTGTCTTTTACTTTTAAATCTCTTTGTACTCTTTTGTACATATTTGAATAAATTCGATTCAACAGTTGTGTATTTTAGTTGAACTTCTTTCGTGCCTTTTTATTTCAAATCAAGCTCACCAAATTAAATTTTCAAAATAGCACAAATAATTTTGTAAAAATATATCATAAATTTAAAATAAAATTAAAATGTAATAAGGTCATTTTTGTAATTATTGTTGATGAAGAGTTAGTATACATCCTTCCAGTTTATGTAAAGGCTAGATTAGAAACTGCATATATGTGGATTTAAATTTTAAAATTTTATAATCTGCTAAAAAACTATTCACAGAAAATAAAATAAAATTAGACAATCCATATAAATAAATAATATAAATTTATGAAATTATTTTATTAATCCATTGTTAATCTCTTTAATCTAAATGAAAAAAAACTGAAACATATTTTTATTTTTTATTTTATTTTATCAACTATATAAGATAAAATTTTAATTTTCACTTTTTTAGTAGCATTACCTTTAAATGATTGGACTTCGGTTAAACCTTTTCAATTTTTTATTTTTTGTGTACTAACTTTAGTTCTATGATCAATTCATATTTTTCAATTTATCTATTTATTTAGTAACTTTACTCGTGATATGCACAGACAATTGTTAAAATATATAGATTTTAAAATTGATAACTCTACTATTATGATCCTATAGTTGAATTCTAAATTAAAATTTTGTTAACTTATCCATAAATTATATGTTATAATATATCATTAATTTCAAAATTGATATGTATTTTTTACAAACCTAATAAACAATCTTTCTAAATAAATAAAAAAATATTATAAATTATAGATTTTTGTAGTTTATATTTTTTATTTCGTGGTTTCTGTTTTTTTTTTAATTTGCGTTTTTTTTTTATTTTAGTAATTTTCATTTAAATAAAAACTTAATTCATTTTTCTTATTTTGGAATCAAATAATTAAAAATTAGAGATTTTATATTACTGTATTGATCACGATCTAAATTAACAGTGATACATATCGCGATCCGACATATTATACCGACCTTAAAAATATTTTGCTTTATATAATAAAATATTATGTGTCAAAATCATATCAATTAATATGAATCATGATCATGCGAGTTAGCAACTTTGAAACATTCATAAATTTTATATAATAAGATAAAATCAGCCATTACAAACTTATAAGTATCACAATACGGGGGAGATAATTCAGCATCACACAAACTTGCCATGCCATACTGATATAGCGTCATATCTTGTTCTTCCTCATTTGGGCTTTAGTTTTATTTCTTATTTAAGGTTTTTGTGTTTTGAGCTTTAGTCGGTGATTTTAATTACTTCCTTTTCTCTTTTCAAGTTATTTTCCATTTTAGGAGGATTTTAAGGATATTTAGTTTATTTGGAGTTATCCCGAGAGGGTATAAGTATCTTAGGTTTTGCTTATTGTAAGACAGTTTTTGAAGATTTAATAAAGTTAGAGAAAGTTCTCTTTCAGAAATCTACATCTTCTCCTAAACTTTGCGAAGAGATCGAGTTGATATCGTGCAAGTTCTAAAACTTACCCGAAGCTTTAGTAACTTGTTGGTGACGTAATTCCGCTGCTGCAACAGTTGGTATCAGATTCAACCACGATCCTACGATGCCGCCGAAAAGGAATCTCCAGAACCAGAGGGATGAACAGACAGAGGCGTTGCGCGACGTGTTGGCCGATTTCCAAAGGGACTTACGAGACACATTGACAAACACCGTTGAGACAATGGTTCGAACGATGTTCAAGCTCAACAGCAGGCTGCAGTTCAGCCTCCGCTTCAGAGACAAGTCGACGAGGAGGACGAGGATGACTTTGATGAGAATCCGTTTGCCGGTCAGCAGGGTCGCCCTGTCCAGCAACACCAACGACAGGCTATTGGGGACCCTCGGAATGACAACCACCACTGGGAATCGGGCCTTAAACTCGATCTTCCAGACTTTCATGGGAGTCTAGCACCTGAGGAGTTACTCGATTGGATCAGTAACGTGGAGGAGATCTTGGAGTTCAAACAGGTGCCGAGCAACATGCAGGTACCATTAGTTCTGACGCATTTTCGAGGACGTGCGTCAGCTTGGTGGCAGCAAATCAAGGAGCAGAGAGCTCGCGCGGGCAAAGATCGTATTGCGTCCTGGGATAAGCTCAAGCGTCTTCTCCGCAAATCTTTCCTGCCTTACAACTTTGCTCGCACAATGTATACTCGACTTCAGAATCTTCACCAAGGTACGAGATCAGTTGATGAGTACGCGGCGGATTTCTTCACGCTACTAGCTCGCAACAATGTTAATGAGACGGAGGAACAGATGGTTTCGCGGTTCATGGGAGGGTTAAAACAACAACTCCAGCTTCAATTGTTACAATTTAACCCATCTTCCGTGTCAGAGGCTCATCAGCGTGCGCTCTTAATTGAACAGAGCTCCCGTGGTTCATCTGCTTCGTGGTCGTCAGCTCGTACGCGCTCAAGTGGGGAAACGAGTGGTGGGGCGAACACTGAAACTGGGACATCAACAACGGAAGCCCAGCGTATCCAAGAGCTGAGTGGAAACGTGGCCTCACGTTTCCCCCGACCTGCTTCGTCAAAATGCTTCAATTGTGGCGAAGTTGGACATCGTCAAGCAAACTGCATGAAACGGGTTTTCTACAGCAATGATGAAGTGCTCTACGATGGTGATGATACTGACCCCCAGGATAAGACTGAGGTTGATGACAAAGTGGCAGGCGACCAAGGTCTGCTCTTAGTGATTCGACGCAACTTTCTTCTGCCTCAAGGAATCGAAGAATCTTGGTTGCGCACCAACATTTTTCGCTCAACGTGTACTATCCGTGGCAAGGTGTGTCGCATGATCGTCGACTCAGGTAGCCTCACCAACGTTATCTCTGAAGATGCGGCAGCTAAACTGGCTCTTTTTACGGAACCACATCCAGCACCGTATAAACTCGTATGGATTAACACAATGAGGGAGTTGCGCATTACACGGAGATGTCGCGTTCCTTTCTCAATTGGGACCAACTACAGAGACTTGATTTATTGTAATGTGATTCCCATGGACGCCTGTCACCTCCTCTTGGGTCGTCCATGGCAGTTCGATCGGCACACCACTCATGATGGCTTTCACAACACGTATAGCTTTTGCTTTGAGGGGAAACGCATTACTCTGCTACCAGCTCAGGAAACAGCAGAGAGTGCAGCTCCTTCCTCTAGTCCGCCAGTGCCTCCGCAGACTAATGACCATCCTAAACTCGTGCTTCTAGTCGATCGCACTCAGTTCTTGGCAGAATGTGTTGCGAGCGATATGGGTATTGTTCTGGTTATCAAACCGTCGTCTTCGGCAGTGCCTACTGACGTCCCATCGGATTTTCAGCAGCTCGTCGAGGATTTTGGAGATGTTTTCCCCGATGAGCTTCCTTCCGGTTTGCCACCTCTTCGAGACATTCAGCACTGCATCGATTTGGTTCCCAATGCAGTACTTCTGAACCGTCCTCATTATCGAATGTCACCACAGGAACATGATGAGTTGCGTCGACAAGTGGAAGACTTTGTTGCAAAAGGCCATTTGCGTGAGAGTTTAAGCCCTTGTGCTGTACCAGCTCTGCTCATCCCCAAGAAAGACGGTACCGGGCGTATGTGCATGATTAACAAAATTACAGTGAGATATCGGTTCCCTATTCCCCGCTTGGATGATCTCCTCGATCAGATTGGTGCTGCATCCATCTTCACCAAGCTGGATCTTAAAAATGGGTATCATCAGATCCGTATTCGACTTGGCGATGAATGGAAGACAGCATTTAAAACGCATGAGGGTTTATTTGAGTGGTTGGTGATGCCGTTTGGCCTCTCTAATGCGCCCAGCACCTTCATGCGTGTCATGAACCAAGCTTTGAGACCATTTATTGGACGTTTCGTTGTCGTATATTTTGATGATATACTGATCTTTAGTTCGTCTCTTTCAGATCATTTGCACCACCTGCGTGATGTTTTGTTGGTCTTGCGGCAAGAGAAGCTCTTTGGTGCCGCAAAGAAGTGTTCTTTTGGTGTGGCACAGGTCTTGTTTCTCGGCTACATTGTTTCTAAAACCGGTTTGCGTGTTGATCCGGCTAAGGTAGAAGCAATCCGCTCGTGGCCTCAACCGCATACAGTGACCGAGGTTCGCAGTTTTCATGGGCTCGCATCCTTTTACTGACGTTTTGTACCCCATTTCAGCAGTATCATGGCTCCTGTGACCGATTGCATTAGGGGACCGTCATTCGTTTGGTCTTCTGCAGCTGATGAGGCTTTTCGGATCATCAAAGACAAGCTGACTACAGCACCTGTTTTGGTACTCCCGAACTTTGATCTAGCTTACGAATTACATTGTGATGCTTCTAAAGCTGGTATTGGAGCTGTTCTAAGTCAATCGGGTAAGCCGGTGGCGTTTTTCAGCGAGAAAATTGACGGGTCACGTGTACGCTACATCACTTATGATATCGAGCTTTATGCGGTGGTACAGGCAGTTAAACAATGGAGGCATTATTTGTTTCATCGCGAGTTTGTTTTGTTTACAGATCACAATGCTTTGAAACACATGAGATCACAGGATAAAGTGTCGTCGCGACATGTGTCTTGGTTTGCTTATCTGCAGCAATTTACATTTGTCATTAAACACAAAGCAGGTACTCTTAACAGAGTTGCAGACGCACTCAGTCGTAGACACTCCCTCCTCGCGTCGATGCATGTTTCGGTGGTGGGATTTTCTGTCCTTCCGGAGTTGTATCCAGCTGACCCCTATTTTGGGAAGATTTGGTCCGAGGTGCAGAGTGGTGGATCCGATGAGTTTCTTCTCGTGGATGGGTTTTTGTTTAGGGGCACCAAGCTGTGTATTCCTGACTGTAGTTTACGTCTACAGCTCATTCGGGAGTTACATTGTGAAGGACACATTGGCAGGGATCGCACACTTCAACTCGTCGCCGCTTCTTATTTTTGGCCCTCGTTACGTCGTGACGTCGAAAGGTTTGTGTTACGTTGTGGAGTTTGTCAAGCATCTAAAGGTCACGCCTCTAATGCGGGTCTTTATCTTCCGTTACCCATTCCGTCTCAGCCTTGGACTGACATCAGTATGGATTTCGTTTTGGGTCTTCCGCGAACACAGCGTGGCCATGATTCGATATTTGTGGTGGTTGACAGATTTTCGAAGATGGTTCATTTTGTGCCTTGTAAGAAGACTACAGATGCTGTTCAGGTAGCTATTTTGTTCTTTCGTGAAATATATAAGCTCCATGGCTTGCCTGTGTTGATCGTGTGTGACAGGGACTCTCGGTTCTTGAGCCATTTTTGGAGATCTTTATGGCGTTTACTTCGTACGAGTCTGGATATGAGCTCTGCATATCATCCTCAGACTGACGGCCAAACTGAGGTCACAAATCGTGCATTAGGAGTTCTGTTGCGATGCTTAGTGGGCGATAACATTGGGACTTGGGATTCAGTGCTCTGTCAGGCTGAATTTGCGCACAACCATGCGGTGAACCGTAGTACTGGCTTTAGTCCTTTTCATGTCATCTATGGTTTCATGCCGCGTGGACCGATTGATCTCAGCATTGCGCCTGATCGTACTCGTGCTCATGGGAGAGCTTGTGATGTTATTGAGGAGTTTGCAGCTGTGCATCAGCAGGTTCGGGCTAACTTGGAGGAAGCTACTGCTAAGTACAAAGCTGCCGTGGATGTTCACCGGCGTGATCTTCAGTTCGACGTTGGGGATTTGGTTTGGGCTGTGCTTACTAAAGATCGATTTCCGGCGAATTCTTATAACAAGTTGAAGGCGCGCAAGATCAGTCCTTTGGAAGTGATCGAAAAGATCAACAATAACGCTTATCGTCTCCGCTTACCACCTCAAATGAACACTTCAGATGTCTTCAGTGTCAAGCATTTGGTTCCTTATGTCTCCGACAGCACCACCGAAAATTCGAGGTCGAATTTTTCTTCACCCCGGGCGACCTGATGTAGCGTCATATCTTGTTCTTCCTCATTTGGGCTTTAGTTTTATTTCTTCTTTAAGGCTTTTGTGTTTTAAGCTTTAGTCGGTGATTTTAATTACTTCCTTTTCTCTTTTCAAGTTATTTTCCTATTTAGGAGGATTTTAAGGATATTTAGTTTATTTGGAGTTATCTCGAGAGAGTATAAGTATCTTAGGTTTTGCTTATTGTAAAACAGTTTTTGAAAATTTAATAAAGTTAGAGAAAGTTCTCTTTCAGAAATCGACATCTTCTCCTAAACTTTGCGAAGAGTTCGAGTTGATATCGTGCAAGTTCTAAAACTTACCCGAAGCTTTAGTAACTTATTGGTGACGTAATTCCGCTGCTGCAACACATACCAAAATGCCCAAGGAACACCTTCTAAGTGTCTCTTTTTGTAGAATTCAATCAAAATTACAAATCCCGGCTGCATAATTTGTCATCAAATATTATTCCTGAAGGCAAAAAAATAGTCAATTCTTAAAACTTAGCATGTGTGACATTGAAAAACCAACATCACATCACATATGAGGAATTCAATGAAAAATCGTTCATGTATCAAACAAACATCGATCGAAGCCCTAGAACAACATAATATGCATATTATATCCCTAATCAAAGCTTTTGAAACAAAACTGAAAATCTTTCGTAGTGAAAAGAAAATCAAATGTTTCTCGCTCTCTCTCGCTCTCTGAAGTTTCTCTCTCGTGCCAAGACCAAATATAGACTCGAGGCAAGAGAGTGTGAAAACTCAATAACCATAAACTAATTTTGCCCTCAAGCATTTTTGTTGTAAAATACACAAAGAAGAACCTCACAAGAAGAAATGGGGGAAAACAGAAAATCTTGAAACTATTTATTTATAAATTACTTTTCACCAACAATTTATAACACTACAGAATATTCAATTTAATCAAATTAGTTTTCCAACTATGTTGCTTTTGATGCAAGCAATTCAAATACCCTATTTCCTCAAGCAAATCAGCGAGATTTGATATACAAGAAAGAGAAAAATGGGGAAAATTAAGCATAAGATCTTAAGATTTGAACAAATTAGAAACGTTTATGGGTGGCTTTATCCAGACATTAGACAAGCTACGTACATTCAGCCTTTGGGTATCCACGAAGTCTCTATTCGTCGTCACAGCAGACTGGAAGCCTAAGTAAAACGTCAAACCAGGCAATCTTCTTTTCACCGTCCATTTCCGGTTTGTAAGATCTAGCTTGAGAAACGTCGGTTTTCTGTTGGGGCCGTGCGAGTATACAAGGTAGACATCTCCTTGGTACTCTGTCATGAAACATTGATCATCACTAATTTCAAAGAACTTCGGAGGCGGTTCAAGAAGAACGTTCCATGAATTCGTATAGAGATCGAACATCCCTAAGCAACCAATCTTGGTGAGACAATAGAAGACTCCATTGGAGAAAACTATATGTCGGAAACCTTTGTGCGTAAGGGGCAACTGATTCGGTAAAGTCAAAGTAGTCCACTTTTTAGTGGTGGGGCGATATGTTTTGATACAAATGAATGTCTTGGAGATATCACTGACCGAGACTAACACACAACTACTCGATGTAGGAGCACATGAGAAAGCTATTGCATCACTGATGAACCACATTCTAGGCCAAGCCACTTCAATGCGCTCATGTGTAAACGGATTGAAAAACAAGTAATCTTTGAAACTTCTTTCTTCGTGCATGAGTAACCAACCATCTCTGGAATAACATATCTCTAAACCGCCTATCTTAGGAAACTTAACAATATGTGTCTTACCCCGTGATGGATCGTAAAGCTGATATTGATCTTTGTATATAGGGATGAACATAGCCCATGGTGTTGGGTCTTCAACCCGGACCGAAACTGAAGCCTTGTGCCATGTCTTGCACACAACAGAAGCACGAATGTTGTCTTTCAACGACATGCGTTGCATTATCAGTAACGTGAGATCAAAAGGAAGGTTTAACCAAGTTTGGTTATTTGTTTTTGCCTCCGCACTCTTCTTCTGCTTCATCATCGACCTTGTATAAACCATGGATATAGGTTGAATTATATGAGGTTTGTGTTCATGTTTTGGAAAAAAAGTGATATACGGTTTCACTCTACTTCGAAACTGAATATGGAGATAAAATAAGTGAGAGAGGATGGAGATTTAAATATGGTGTGAGCTTTGTCAAACAAAAATAGGAAAAGAAAAGGAGTGTCAAACAAAAATAGGAAAAGAAAAGTTGCTTAGGACCAAGAAACTTCTCAATTTCCTTTTTATGCACTTCAATTAAATCACGTGCTTAATGACATTAAAGAATGAATATACACGAATCATGGTTTAGAGTTGATCTAACGGCTGTAAATAATTTATTAATCAAACTAATTAAGTACTAACATTCAAAAGTCGAAACTTGATCTGGATCAGTTTATATATTCCTACTAGATTATAGTGGGTTTATAATTTACTATTTCAGTCATATTCACTTTACCTCTTGATTGCAAGGATGATCGTTTTTCTGAGCTTAGAACATCTCAGCAATCTGAAAATACGCAGCAAAGAATTGAAATAAAATTAGAAAAATGGAAAATAATCTCAAAACCAGCCTAGTCTTGTCTTTCCAGTATTGAAAACATATGACTGTTTTTAGGATGAGACCTCCCTTTGCTTAGATGATGTTGCATCCTTTGGCTTTTTTTCTTTCCGGACCCGGATTAGCCTAAGAAAAGGTAGATAAATTCCTTTTTAACCAAACCAAAATTCGAATAGTCAATATATAATCAGATAGATTCAAAAAAGGTAAATAAGTAAAACCTTATCAGGAACCACAATGCCTATAGCTGCACCATACTTAGGGCTGAATTTCAAATCAGCTCTCCAGACCTTTATGCAAAAGCATCAGCAAAACACTTTTGAGTTTTGACCCATAAAATTCTGAAGACATTAGTATAAGCAAATCTAACATAATCTGGGCAGAGCTGTGGTACATTGTGCAAGTTCAGCTCAGTTCATGCATTCTCCTCTTAAAGCACATTGGAATGCTGCATTACGTGTTTTTTTTGATATCTTAGAGGCAGCCTCGAACAAGGTGTTCTTCGTGCAGACTCTGAATCTGATTTATGCATTACATCGTACAGTGATTCTGATTGGGCTGCATGTCATCTCACTCGTCACTCCCTCAGTGCATATGTTGTCCTTCTTGGTACATCTCATGTTTCTTGGAAAAGTAACAAGCAAGATATGTTTTCTATATCTTATGCTGAAGTTGAATACAGATGGCTTTTGTTTCGGAAGAACTTAATTGGGTCAAGCATTTACTTGCGTCATTTGGTGTTGCTCATGATAAACTAATGAAACTATTTTGCAACATTCAGATTGCAATTCGCACAACTGTATTTGACGAACGCACTAAACACATCGAGTTTTATTGTCAATTGTATTTAAAATTTAAAAATCCCAAAACCAGCAAGAATTTATATGATATAAGAAGTCGTCAAGTTGGCCGCGCTCATTAGACGTTAAGGTACGATTGCACCATATCCTTGCAAACGAATTCTGAATCTTAGATAGTTGTTTTCTATTTCGATGCCTTAGTAAATTTACATTTGATTTCGAATAAATAAATGATTTAAATCAACTATTTCTATTTCTATATTATTATTTGAGTAGACATTTACATAAATGAACCTTTAATTGTAAGATATTACAAAATATTTTAAATAAATAAATATTTATTTATAAGATATTATATAAATAAACTATTAATTATAAGATATTACATAAATAAACTTTACAAATATAAAAAGCTCAATTAAATATTTTTTCATAAAAGATAGTTAAATATAGAGTTCACAGATTTGTTTTGAATATATATATATATATAGATATAAATTAAAGGTGTATTTAGTTTTTTATTTATTAAAATATTAAAATATATTCTATTATTTTAAATAATAATCAATCTATATATAAGAAAATATATTAATACTTTTTAAAATAATTAATTAGTATCATATTTGAAATCAATTCAATTATTTTTATATAAAAAATGAAATATGTTTTCAATATTTAAATTATATTTTTTACCGGTTGTCAAATTTTTTTTAGTAAATTGCGAAATAGATTAAGTATATGAGTTTGTCCACTTTGATAATCCTATATATAATCATTATTAACACATATTATATACTTGATTAACTAAAAATGATAGTTTGATCTCTAATAAAACATTCACAATTAAATTCTTATTTTATGGATATATATATATATATTTAGATTATAATCCATGTTGGTATATATATAAGTATATATTAACATTATATTATTTTTATATTTAAAACTACTAAAAATTAAAATGCATAATAAAACTAGCTCAAACTCTTATTCGATGGATATATATACAAGTAAATATCGGTTGTGTGATATTTTTATATATGTATTGTTATTTAATTATCACTAATTTTATTTATTTATATTTTATTAAATGATTTTTACTACTAATTTTAATTTAACAAAAGCATTAAAATTAAATTTAAAAATAATTTAAAAAACATTACCCTGCACATTATGCGGTTTAATTTTTAGTAATTTAAATGATAGAAGAAACTGTTAAATTAGCCTTAGATCATGAAATAAGAATAATCATATAATTACATGTTCTTAAATACTGACTCTTGGATCGTTAATTCTTGTCTTGATACCTGAATTAATAAATACATAACAATATAATTATACTTGAAAAATAAAAGCCTAAAACTAACCTGACAGAAAAGTCGCTAAATTGGCCCTCACTGAATCATGAAATATGATTCCATTATATAGTTTCATGTTCCCGAATTCAGACTTTTTTCTATATTTATTATTAGTATTACTATACTTAAAATGGTAAATTTTAATAGTAAAATTATATGTATTTTTCTTTTTTAAAAAAAAAAATACTAACAAAAAATTAAAATTACGATTAATAAGTCTCATAATATACAGAGAAAATGTAGTCGGATTTAGCTATTGTGGAGAAATTGAGTTAGAGCCCATTCTGATCTAGTAGTCCGATCACAGAAGAGACCACAACAGCTTATACTGATAAAAGTCTCGAAATTCATTGCACCACTTTGGCATAAAACTCATGACTCCGCACTTGTTCATTCTCAAGTCGTAGCCATAAATCCCTCAATATTCGATAAGGTTATTTATTGTCCTCAACATTTTAACGCATGAGCAACATCAGAATACTTGCTAGTATTTTTTTCACCATTTTATTGTCGCTATAACACGAGAAGTAGGTTTCAGAGGATGAGTCATATGAAGATACTGTGAAAGAATGAAAGAAATTGCTTAATCTCTCGGCGATACTAAGTTGTATATCGATTTGTCTCGAGTGATCGTTCTATGAGATTATGACTGTGCTTTGTGGGTATCTTATAAACCTTAAGCAAATGTTTCTTCAATGAGAATTCTCATCCACATTACTTTCCTTGTTTACATTTCTTTCATTCATTGAGCTTTGGAGTCTCGACTCGGGTCGAAAATAAGTTATGATTTCCAGAATCTTCTTGATGTTGATCCAGAGAAGTGCAACATGGAGAGAAGTAAAGATGAGTTGGATGATTCCTTGTGGGATTGTTGCCCAGAAATGGTTATAACGTTTTGCGCCGAAGGCTTAAGAGCATATAGTTTCAATGCCTATGGTTTACCAGAGAAGAGAGAGTATCCACTGATGTTTGTGAATGCGAAGGCGAGGGAGCCGCCAGAGAGAGTGGGGCCACCAATACTGGCTAGGAAATACATAGAGACGAATGAGCAAAATTGAAGGAGGAGACTTGTGATCAATGTGTGAGAGATTCTGGCGATTGAGATAACTTCATCTGCGAAAAAAAGAGAGGAACCTAATAAATTTTAAGTAAATTTTATGTGAGTGAGAGGAAAATACATAGATAATGAGAGAGGATTTATTTTGGGTGTTAAGAAGATTGGTGTGTAGAAACCATACATTCGACACAGAAAAGTCACTATCTGTGAGAGAGGAAAATACATCAATAGAAAGAGATGATTTATTTTTGGATGCAAAGAAAATTGGTGTTTAGAAACTATACACAGTTGACAGAGGAAATTTCATTTTTTTTCCCTTGTAGTCGAAGTGTTTTTAGAATTAGATGTCGTTGTCTCTCCGGTGTCCAACACTTTTTACTAGAGCCGTGAGAAGGCTCTGCTTTAGTGTTTTTTTCTTTTTTATCGGCAAAAAAAACAATAATTTGAAAATATATGATAAAATTTAATTAGAAATCAAACAATACAAAAAGATGAGAATCAAAATAAGTAAATACTTGTTGCTTTGTTACTGATAATAAATTGAAAATTATCATTTTATTTTCATGGATAATTTACTTTATTTTTTTTTTTGGATTTTTCGTGGATTATAAAATATCAAATTATAGTAAAAAATAATGGTTAGGATTGGATTCTGCACCTAATGCTGACTCGTAGTGGACTGACTCGTGTCGCAAAGACAGTGCCTTAAAGCTTTGTCTGAAACTTATTAGATTTACTGAGATGAGATCTGTGCGTGGACTAGGCGCAACTATAAGAGAATCTGAAATGAAATTCTTTTTCTTCCTCAATCTTATTCTCACTTTATTTGGTTGGTCACTTTTGTTCCTGAAATATTCACACAGTTCGTGTGTTTTTTCTCAGAAATCGAATCTCTCATTGAAAACAACTTCGGTGTCATTGATTCCGGGCAGAAAATGGAAGTCAAAGATTTGGAATTTGCAGTTAATGGAGAGAGATTCAAAATCAACTCTGTTGATCCTTCTACGAGTTTACTCGAGTTCTTGCGATCCAACACTCCTTTCAAGAGTGTCAAGCTTGGTTGTGGCGAAGGCAAAATCTCTCTCTCCCTCTCTCTACTGTTTTGAAAAGGCGTAACCTTCAGTCCAGAAACAATCTTATTTAAAAGCTTTCCTTTTTACCAGAATTAGTGAAATTCAGGAACAGAGAAACCCAATTTTTGTAAAATCCAAATCCGAGTTCTTCAGATAGATTTGATGTCTGACTAAACGTGTTTGTAATTTAGTGCAGGAGGGTGTGGTGCTTGTCTTGTATTATTATCAAAATACAATCCAGAGTCAGAGCAAGTGGAGGAATATAGTATAAACTCATGCCTCACTCTTCTCTGTAGTGTAAATGGATGTTCCATTACAACATCTGAAGGTCTTGGAAACACAAAGAAAGGATTCCATCCGATCCACAAGAGATTTGCCGGTTTTCACGCCTCTCAATGCGGTTTCTGCTCACCGGGGATGTGCATTTCTCTCTACTCAGCTCTTGCTAATGCTCATCGTAGTAACAGCTCAGGCCTCACTGTTTCAGAAGCTGAGAAATCCGTCGCTGGAAACCTTTGTCGATGCACTGGTTATCGTCCCATTGTCGACGCTTGTAAGAGTTTCGCTGCTGATGTTGACATTGAAGACTTGGGGTTTAATTCCTTTTGGAAAAAGGGAGAGAGCAGAGAGGTTATGTTGAAGAGTTTGCCTCCTTACAATCCAAAAGAACATCTTGTGACAACATTCCCTGAGTTCTTGAAAAAGAAGAAGAAGGTTAATAATTGTTTGGATCATTCGAGGTATCATTGGACAACTCCTTTTAGCGTAGCTGAGCTTCATAACATATTGGAATCTGCTAATTCTGGTGACTCGTTGAAGTTAGTTGTGGGCAACACGGGGACGGGTTATTACAAAGACAAGGAGCGGTTTGATAGATATGTTGATATCAGCCATATTCCGGAGATGTTGATGATCAAGAAAGATGAGAAAGGAATTGAAATCGGAGCTGCTGTAACCATATCAAAAGCTATCGATGCTTTGAACGAGGAAAGCAAATCTTCCTACATTTTCAAGAAAATGGCAACTCATATGGAGAAGATTGGCAACCATTCTATAAGGAACTCAGGGAGTATTGGCGGTAATCTAGTCATGGCTCAGAGCAGAAAGTTTCCTTCTGATATCACCACGCTTCTGCTCGCTGCAGATGCGTCGGTGTATATGTTAAATGGCAGGAAAACAGAAAAGCTTAGGCTACAGGAGTTTCTTGGAATGCCTCCTATATTAGACTCCAAACGAGTTCTTTTAAAGGTTGAGATTCCATCATGTACTGCTCTTTCTGGCGATGACACTGATTTGTTCTTTGAAAGCTATCGAGCTGCACCTCGCTCTATTGGAAACGCATTGCCGTATGTTAATGCTGCTTTCTTTGCTCTAGTGTCTCGCCAAGAACCATCAAGAAAAGGCGTAATGGTGAAGAAATGCTTGTTGGCATTTGGTTCTTATGGCGGTGATCATTCAATCAGGGCAACAGAAGTCGAGGATTTCCTGACAGGTAAATTGCTCAGCTACAGTGTTCTGTATGAAGCTGTGGGTTTACTTAGAGGAATCATAGTTCCGAGCAAAGATCCCGAGTATAGGAAAAGCTTGGCTGTTGGATTTCTCTTTGAGTTTTTCTATCCACTGATCGAGAGTAGCAGTAGAATATGTAGTCTTGATTCAGGAGAAAAGCATAGCAACGGCCATGTCGATCCTGCAAGATCTCTTTCTTTCCTCTCATCTTCACAGCAAGTTTTAGAGAGCAATGAATTCCAGCCTGTCGGCGAAGCGGTTATCAAAGTTGGAGCTGCATTACAAGCTTCTGGTTAGCTCTTCTGCCTTGTGTCTTTATCATTCTTAGTAACTTCATTTTGGCCTTACATGAGCTTTCTCTCAGGTGAGGCTGTTTTTGTTGATGATATTCCGACTTTACCGGACTGTCTACATGGAGCATTCATTTATAGCACAGAGCCTTTAGCAAAGATAAAAAGGATAAGCTTCACTGAGAACGTGACTCCAACTGGAGTTTTCGCAGTTCTTACTTTCAAGGACATTCCACAAGAGGGACAAAACATTGGTTCCAAGACCCTTTTCGGTCCAGGACTTTTATTTGCAGACGAAGTAACTCGATGTGCTGGTCAAAGAATTGCTCTTGTGGTAACTCCAATATTGTCTTCTTTCAATTCCTGCTTTTTTTTTTCTTTGCATAACTAATAACAAAATAAGCGGCTTTTCACAGGTTGCAGACACACAGAAACATGCAGACAGGGCAGCAAACCTTGCAGTAGTTGAGTATGATACAAAGAGTTTAGAAGAACCAATATTAACTGTAGAAGATGCGGTCAAAAGATCTAGCTTTTTCGAGGTTCATCCCATGTTTTACCCGGAACCAGTCGGTGATGTTATGAAAGGAATGAAAGAAGCTGAGCGAAAGATACTGTTAGCTGAGGTATCACAACTCTCTTTACCGATCTTTATCACCTTGTTTTTTGTATTGACATCCTTAAGCTCATCTCATGTGTGTTATATATCCAGTTTAGGCTTGGATCTCAATACTTCTTCTATATGGAGCCACAAACAGCACTTGCCCTGCCAGATGAAGACAACTGTGTAAAAGTGTTCAGTTCATCGCAAGCACCTGAGTACGTTCATTCGGTAATCGCTACATGCCTTGGCATTCAAGAGCATAACGTGCGAGTCATCACCAGAAGAGTTGGAGGTGGCTTTGGTGGTAAAGCTGTAAAGTCAATGCCTGTAAGTATTTTACCAAGAACAAGTATTGGTTTGAATGCTGGTTTCTTCTATGAATCAAGATCCTAAGGAAAGTTTTTGTTATATGGATTCAGGTTGCAACAGCATGTGCCCTGGCTGCTCACAAACTGCAGCGTCCTGTTAAGATTTATCTGAACCGCAAGACCGATATGATAATGGCAGGAGGAAGGCATCCGATGAAAATAACTTACAATGTTGGTTTCAGATCAGACGGGAAGCTCACAGCACTGGAGCTGACAATGCTAATAGATTCAGGGATGGAGCCGGACGTAAGTCCCATCATGCCGCGGAATATAATGGGCCCGTTAAGGAAGTATGACTGGGGAGCCTTGTCGTTTGACGTTAAAGTGTGCAAGACGAATCTCCCTAGTAGAACAGCGATGAGAGCTCCAGGGGAAGTACAAGGTTCTTACATTGCGGAATCTATTATTGAGAATGTAGCCTCGTCTCTTCAAATGGATGTTGATGCAGTGAGAAAGATAAACCTTCATACTTATGATAGCCTCAGAAAGTTCTACAAGCACATTTCCGGTGATCTTGATGAATACACACTGCCTCTACTATGGGACAAACTAGAGATATCTTCAGAATTCAAGAAAAGAGCTGAGATGGTTAAGGAGTTTAATATGTGTAACGTATGGAGAAAGAGAGGGATTTCTCGAGTACCCATTATCCATCAAGTTATGCAGAGGCCGACACCGGGAAAAGTAAGCATTTTGAGCGATGGTTCTGTAGTGGTTGAGGTTGGAGGGATTGAGATAGGACAAGGATTGTGGACCAAAGTACAACAGATGGTTGCTTATGGTCTCCGTATGACCAAATGCAAAGGAAGCGAGAAGCTGATGGAGAGAATACGGGTTGTTCAGTCCGACACGCTCGGTTTGATCCAAGGAGGTTTCACTGCCGGTAGCACGACATCCGAGAACAGCTGTGAAGCCGTTAGGCTTTGCTGTGCTATCTTGGTGGAGAGGCTGAAACCTACAATGGATCAAATGTTGATGGAGAAGTCAGGTTCCGTGACATGGAACATGCTTATTCAACAAGTAGGTAGTTCTGATTGTTATTTTGTCAAAGACTCTGCATCAACTATCCGTATAATTTTTTTATTCTTTTTCATCAGGCGTATGCTCGGTCGGTGAATTTATCGGCGAGTACATTGTATAAGCCAGAGTTTTCTTCCATGGAATACCTCAACTATGGGGTTGGAATCAGTGAGGCAAGTCACAATGCAAACTATTGTTTGTTTAAATGTGAGAACCAAACAATAATATGATCTAGTTTGCAGGTGGAGGTGGACCTTATGACAGGAAGAACCGAGATTTTAAGATCCGATATCATTTATGACTGTGGGAAAAGTCTTAATCCTGCAGTTGATTTAGGACAGGTTAGCTATAAGCTGCTCCACATAATTTTTCTTTCTTGTTTTCTTCGAGTCATTTCTTGAGCTAAGCAAGAAAACAAAAACTGGATGGTTTGTGAGAAAAGGTCGAAGGCGCGTTTGTTCAAGGAATTGGTTTTTTCATGATGGAAGAGTACACTACAGATGAGAAGGGTCTTGTGTTGCAACAAGGTACTTGGGACTACAAAGTTCCTACAGTTGATACCATCCCAAAGCAGTTCCACGTCGAGCTTCTCAACACTGGACATCACAAAAACCGCGTTCTCTCCTCCAAAGGTATCAAGATATCCTAAAATTGACACATTTGGCTAAATGGATAGCTTACAAAGTACTTTTTTAAGTCGTAACATACAAAATTATATGCTAGATGTGATTTGCTTTCTTACTTATCTATTTCATGCTCTATATACTCAAACAACCTCTTAATCTGGTGCACAGCTTCGGGTGAGCCGCCTTTGCTTCTGGCGGCTTCTGTTCATTGTGCAACGAGATCAGCCATTGGAGAAGCTCGGAAACAGTCCCTTACATGGAACTGCAATGATGGGAATAGAGACGGGTCTGGTACTGATTTTGAGCTGCCGGTTCCAGCAACTATGCCAGTGGTGAAGGGTCTTTGCGGATTATATAGCGTAGAGAAGTACTTAGAAAGGAAGATCTGTGGGAAATAATGGCAAACTCTCTCTTTGCTGCTTCTTTAGAGCGTTACTACACTCTACACCGACTACACAATAATGTTGTCTTTAAAGATTTCATATAAATAGGGAAAATAAATATTTAGGTGCGTCTTTTATACATGTAATTAGTGTTTCTAAACCAAATCAAGAAACCAATTCGAAAAGTTTCAGGTCGTTGTGTTGATCTAGTCAGATAGATGAGCGGATCCATGAAAGTTAAGTTTTTTTTTTTTTTTTTTTGACAACGTTTAGTTTTCTTCTTTGTGTATTTACGATTTAGTTTTTTGGTAGAATGATGTTTTACTAACTTGCAAAAGAAAAGAAAAAGGGGATAGTATGTAATTAACAGATATTGTATGAAATTAACCGACCTGATATGCGGCTGAGTACGTCTCTGAGATCAATTTCGGTAAGCATCTCGTGAACTTAAGGCAAAAAAAATTATAGAAATAATTTTACAACAGAGATTACAAAGGCTTATTGGTCTTAATTCCGTCATTATGTTGGGTCTTACTGCTTTCAGCATAAGACAAATATTCTGTTGGTGTTCCGCTGACTGAATTGAGTTTGTACCAGACGCTGCAGCAGTGGAAGTAGCACACAATGTAATACAAGGAAGCATTGCAGAGTAACTGATGTTTTGGAGCTAAAGCCTAAGCTGAACTGGGGTTAATAGCTGTGGTGGACTAACTTAAAGACGAGCCAAGAGGGTAGCTGAGCTGGACGAACATCTTGGAAAAAATATTGAAATTTGGAAGAATTCCTTATTTTTGGGAGAAAAAAAAAGAAACTCATGTAAGGTCACCTGAATAATCATCCAACTTTTTATCAACTTCATTTCTTCTTTGAGAGAGATTCTCAATTGTTCCTTGGAAGTTATCCATTGATCACCTTTCGATCCTAGGAGGTTATCCTTGGATCTTTCAGTATATCAAGTGTTTTCCACCACACTTGACGTTGCCATTTACTAGCCAGAGTTGTCGAAAACGTCTAAGTGAGTTTTGGGACTAAAGTTTCATATACCTTAGAATCTTACTCCACGAATTCTATTTTCCGAGATTCCACCGCCTTGTTCTTTTGGTGTGTCTTAAGTTTGCTTTGGGACTAGGGTTTGATATACTTTAGAATCTCTGCTACATGAGCCACAAGGAGTCAAGGATTATCCTTTTTTTTTACTGCACTTGAGTCCAGCATCATTGAGAACTTCTGCAGTATCGTAGAAAACAAGGAAAAACTCGGAAAACAAAGAAAATAAATTCCTAAGACCAAATAAACTCTGAAGTTTAGAAGACCCTTGAGAGTTCCACACGCATAGAATGACTCGTGAGGTCCTTTGGTCGAAATCTTCATAGACTATAAGAGATGGATCCAATTTATCTCATTAAAAACCTATATTTGGAAAACCCATTGGAACAAAACTAAAGACAAGGAAAAATAGTGCACATGGATCACAAGTCCATTTAATGATTTTCTTGGACTTGTTTCACAACTAGAGTAGTTGTAAACATTTCTAACTCATCCACTGGTACAAGCTCTGCTTTAGGGTTTAGTACCACCTGGATCAAACAATGCCAGATCCTCTAACTCATCCACTGGTACAATCTCTGCTTTAGGTCTTAGTGCAAGCGCCATTTTCTTAATGCTGGCCATGATCATATTAACCTGGTTTTAGATCTAAGAATTCATATATGAATACTAATTTATGAATTACGCACTATCCAACAATTTTTTTTTTGGATATAACACAAAAAACTGTACAAGTCAAAATATATTAATATAGAATGGGGTTTGTAATCTTCACCTTCTCCTCTGTTGCCCAACAAAATTTTGGTTATTTATGTTATGTGTTTCCACAGTTCCAGCATTTAGCAGGTTAACTAGGATCTTCTATTCCGTAACTCCGATATGCATTTGCTTGTTTTTCACATTAAAAGCAGAGTTCCTCTATGTCTCTCTATATCTATAATGCAATTGCAAACATGTTGCTCTAGTTCTGTTTATTAGTTGATAATAACTTTTCGGATTTAGAACCCAAATTTGACGCTTAGAAAACAAATGAAAAGCAAGAAAATAAGCAACACACAAGATTATAGTGGTCGCTATGATCAAAACTGATAATTTTTACAACAACCGAAATTTTAGAAAAAAAGAAAAAAAAATCTAGAAAAATACTGAAAATAGCCTTAATACACACCCGTAATCCCTAACTAACGTATGACCCGATAGTCTTCACCATATTAGCAATATATGAGGCAGAAAATTTGAGTTATAAGATTAGCAGATGATATTTTCCTAATATGATATTTTTTCTAATATGATAGTTTCACTAATCATTTTTTCAACTAATTATATGTATACAAGGTATATATATATATAATATGTATAATAGTACAATATTTTTTTTGTCTACATCAACACAAAAAATTAACCTGGATGATATATTTATTAAGCCATATAAAGTAATTTCATTTCATCTTGGATTATTTAATTAATCATTTTTACTGTTTAATAAATACTACATATATGAAATAATAATAAATAAAGCAATTTAGTAAAATAAACAATATAAAAGAATCACAATATAAGCAAAAGATAAACAAAAAATAAGCAAAAAATATGAAAAAAGTAATAGAAAAATATAATTGATAGTATATGCCATACTAGTGTACATGTTATATTAAATATAAAATGACATTTTTATATAACTTTTGTGCATTAGTCGTATATCATTTTTGGAAAACGAAAGCTGGAAGAAAGTTAGACATGAAAGTGAGATCAGAGACCCAAATTTATCTACTAATAATGAGTTTTTTTGGTGAATATGATGATGATAATGCATTTTCATATGTTATTATGAACTCAGATTCTGAGAATTCCGACAATGAGCATCAAGGAGTATAGTTAGTTCCTATACTTAGGGAGAACTTCATATTTATGCCTGGGGAAGAGGAAGACGTTTGTCCAATTTTGTTTAGGACAATTTGAGTGGAACATTCCATTGGCGAATATGCCATGTGGACATGCATTCCACTTACATTGTCTTAGTCAGTGGCGTGCAAATACTTATCCAAATTGTAGAAGAAGGTTAGATTACACTACAAGAAAACAACATTTTAGCGACTGTATTTTGCGACTACCTTAACAGTCGCAAACTGTCCCGACTAATTAGCGACTAATTTGTAACTATTTTATGACCAAAAACAAATAGTCGTAAACTAGTCGCTAATTTGCGACAAATACAGACAATCGCAATATAGTCGCAGATTAACGATTATATTGCGACTAACTTGTAGTCGCAAAATTATAGTCGTAAAAAAATCTGAAATTTGCGATTACTTCGCGATTATTGCAGGGAATCACAAAAATTAAAACACGTGTATTATGTTTTGTGGTTGGTTGTATTTATTTTTTGCGACTAACAGTTAGAAGTCGCAAATTAGTCGCATTGTTAATTGTTAATGTTCTTTCATCAAAAAGATATTAAAATTATGAATCCTTTATTTTATATTATAATTAACTAATTACATGTACATGTGTAAATATGTATACTTCTGATTTTATAATACTATGTAATTTTTATATCTTTATAATATAATTAGCATGCATGTTTGTATCAAAAAATAAGATGTCATAAGTTTTGCATTTTTTATTATTGCAGAGTATATAGTTATACATAAATTTCATTATGTCCAATGCATGAATTATTATAACAGGTTAGTGGTTACGATTCTTGTTTCCTATTTGCGATTTCTTTTTGCAACTAATTTGCTACGGTTTCAAATTTTTATGAAATATCAAGCGGCAAGAGATCCCTCCATTTTTTCATTTGCGACCATATTTGCGACTCTTGTACGACCACGACCTTTTTATTATACCTAAACCCCTTTCTTTCCCACTTTCGATTCCTCTTTCTAGTTTTTTGTCCCTTAGACGTTTGTTTCCTCTCTATTTAGCTGAAATCATAATCTCTCTCAAATCCTCTAAAATTACTCGATTCTAAACCCAATATCTCTCAAATCGATCATCTTCCTTCCTTCTCCTCTAAATTCTCTTTCCAATTCCTCCACTTTCACATCTGTTTTGCTGAGAATGCTTCCCAAATCGATTGAAACCCTAAATTTCTGTTCTAAGCTCTTTTTCGATCTAATCCCAAATTCAAAACCCTAATCTCTGTGAGAAACACTAATCTCTGTGAGAAACACTAATCTCTGAGTGCTGGCCGTGTAAGGAAGAAAGGAGGAGGAGGTGCGTCCGTCGCAACGAAGAGGACATGCGGCGGTTCTCCTTCCGTCATCAGAACTCCATCGCCTCTACAACGTGGTATGAATCTCAGAATTCTTAATGCTGTTTTGCTGGGTGTTTAGGCGTTTTAGAGAAGAATTGGTTTATCTTTGCTTAGTTTACCTTGTCTTAGTAGCTATTCTCTCGACCGAGATCGAGGAAGTGTCGTAACGCCAAGTGCAAAGGGTTGAAGAAGGCTATGGAGTTTGATTTGCAGCTGCAGACGGAGAAAACCAATCGGGATCAGCTAAGGAGATTGATTGGTTACTTTGGAAAGGAGGCAGCAAGAACAATCCTGGTTACGAGTGTTTGAGAGCTGAGCTGAGGAGGATGGCTCCACCTAATGGTCGAGCTGTGTTGGGGGGAGAAGCCGGCGTCATAAAAAGTAAGTCAGAATTCTCATCTTCATTTTGAATTTGGACTTTAGGCTTTTCTGAGCTCAAAGTGCTGTAGTATGTCTGTTCTTGCATTGCTTGTGAAGCTTGGCTACAATGATTAGCTGGAACTTGGTTAGTAGTGGAATTGTAGGTGTATAAAAAATCCAATTAATCGTGTTACTAGTTGAACATTTCTGTTTATGTAATCCTCATTGGCTGTGGATTTTAGTCAAATCTATATCACCATACCGTTTTAATGGTTGCAAGAGTTAATGCACATGCAGCCATGACCATGGAACATGTGCATCACATTATCATATACCAGTTGTTTCTCTTTCTTTGTTATGATTTATGCTTCTAACTGCTTGCTTGCTTTGTTTCTGTGTTTGTAGTTCTTGGTCCTCACGTGCACTTATCAGGGTTGAAGTTTTATCAACAAATCCAACAAGAAATTGTAAGTTTATCTGTTTATGTTAGTATTCAATCAGTAAAACTTTAAGTCTTGGGAAGAAGAATTTTAACTCTTTCATTGACTTTTTTTGTTATCATTTAAGGAAGAAGAATGTGGTCTTGGTGAAGTTTTATGTCTCTCAAACCATAGGTCTCTCATCTCTTTTAACCTCATTTTGAACTTATCTCCAATGGTTGTATATGGTAACCATTGAAGTTTCTTAGTTTTGTGAACAATGTATTACCTTTGTAAATTATTTGTTTCATATGCTTTTAAAATTCGTAATGAATGTATTTACAATTTAGTTCAATTATTAACAATTGAATTCAAATTACCAAATTAGCATTATCAATAGCAATACAAAATTCTAATTCTATTGATAATAATAGTCGCAATGCAATCGTCATTTAGTCGTCAATCGTAAGGAAGTCACAAAACAGTCGCTATTCAATCATCGTAAAATACTCGTTTGATTTAGCGACTGATTCGCTACTACACTTTGACAACTTCACTACGGCTATGAAACAGTGGCAAAATAGTCGTATAAAGAGTTGTAATTCAGTCGGTAAAGTTACGACTAAATTACGACTGTTATACGTCGACAAAAGGTATGCACAAATTAGTAGTATAACAGTCGTAATTTGGCGACTGATTTACGACTCCTTGATTTTGGGACACAGTATTACCGACCAATTGGTTCAGTCGTTAATCAGTCGTAAATATAAGATTAGCGACTGATTTGCGACTGTTTTTGATGTCGCTAAAACGTTGTTTTCTTGTAGTGTTAGTACTGGTGTTGTACAAATTTAAATGGGTCTATGTACTTTTGATATTTATGAATAAAATGATTCATTTCAATCTTTCGATATGTCTAAGCCTGTTTTTGTTTTTGTTTTTTTTGTTTTTGTTTATTTTTTGGGCTATCAATCAAGACAGTAGATAAACCTACATAATTTCCGAAATAATAGGAATCTTTTGGAGATAATGTCAATGTAAATTTACATATCAACAACAAGAAAAAAAAATATATAAGGTTTTCCAAAAGAGAAGGCTACTCCATTCCCCTTGGTGTATGCTCCAGTACGAGTACGAGCATCTCAATAACATATCTGAATAACATAAGGTTTGTCATTTTAATACAATATTCTATATAATGTTTTGCATTTGATTCAAAGTGATAACTGATAAGTGAATAAGTGATACTAAGAAAAAACATAATTCATCGCTCAAATCACCAAGAAGAAGATTGAGTTCTGATTTCTGATTATTAGTTGATAATAATTTTTAGGATTTAGATCCCAAATTTGACTCTTAAAAAAATTAAAAGCAAGAAAATTAGCGACACACAAGATTATAGTGGTCGGCTGGTCGCTATGATCAAAACTGAGATTTTTTTTTTCTCTCATTTTTACAACAACCAAAATTTTAGAAAAAAAAATCTAGAAAAATACTGAAAATAGCCTTAATACACACCTTTAATCCTTAACTAATGTATGACCCGATAGTCTTCACCATATTAGCAATATATGAGGTAGGAAATTAGAGTATATAAGATTACGGATGATATTTCTTCTAATATGATAGTTTCACTAATCATTCTTTGAAGTAATTATATGTATACAATATATATAATATGTATAATAATACAATTTTCTTTGTCTACATAAAAAAATGGATGATTTATTTATTAAGCCATATAAAGTAATTTCATTTCATTTTGTATTATTCAATTAATTATTTTTATTATTATTATATAAATACTAAATATATGAAATAATAATAAATAAAGCAATTTGGTAAAAATAAAATATAAAATAATCACAATATAAACAAAAAAATAAGCAAAAAATATGAAAAAGATATAGAAAAATATAATTAATAGTATATGCCATATTAGTGTACATGTCATATCAAATATAAAATGACATTTTTATATAACTTTTGTGCATTTGGTCATATATCTTTTTTGGAAAACAAAAGCTGGAAGAAAGTTACACATGGCAGTGAGATTAGAGACCCAATTTTGTCTAATGGTAATGATGTTTTGGGTGAATATGATGATGATGATAATGCATCTTCATATGTTATTATGAACTCAGATTCTGAAAATTCCGACAATGAGCATCAAGGAGTATAATTAGCTCCTATACTTAGGAAACATTTGGTATTTATGCATGGGGAAGAGGAAGACGTTTGTCCAATTTGTTTAGGACAATTTGAGTGGAACATTTCATTGGTGAATATGCTATGTGGACATGCATTCCACTTACATTGTCTTAGTCAGTGGCGTGCAAATACCTGTCCAAATTGTAGAAGAACGTTATGTTAGTATTGGTTTTGTACAAATTTTAATGGATCTATAAACTTTTGATATTTATGAATAAAAGGATTCATGTCAGCCTTTCGATATGTCTAATCCTGTTTTTGTTTTTTTTTTGTTTGCTTTTTTGGCTATCAATCAAGATAATAGATATCAATGAAACAAACTACACAATTTCCAAAACAAAGGGTCTTTGCGAGACTATGTCAATGTAAATTTACATATCAACAACAGGAAAAAAATGTATTTCAGTGAAGTTTCAAACATATGGTCTGTACATATATAAAATTCATCAATCATCAAACATATGGTTTTTCAAAAGAGAAGGCTACTCCATTCTCCATGTTGTAAGCTCCATACGAGCATCTCAATAACATATCTGAATAACATAAGGTTTGTCATTTTAATACAATATACCAAATTTTTATATAATGGTTTGCATTTAATTCAAAGTGATAAGTGAATACATGATACGAAGAAAAAACATAATTCATAGCTCAAATCGCCAAGAAGAAGATTGATTACTATGGTAGATGCAACAACAATCTCCATATCTTGGAGACTTTGGAACACATTCTCATGCAATGTACCATTCTTCTTATCTATATACCCTTTAAAATACTCAATGAAGCATTCATAAATTTCGGACCATTTTATCTCACAATACAGTAAAAATTCTATAAATTAATACTTGATAATTAATAATTAATACTTGATAATTAATAATTAATATAAAATAATAAAATTTACCGGTTCAAGTCGGGCCAGTATGAATTTCGATAAGATTATATGATAATAGTTTTTTTGAAACTGTTATGTAAATATATGATCCCAACAAAAATATAAATTAATAATAATATAAATTTAAACAAAAATATGCAATATAACTAATATATGACTAATATGTTTGTTTTTACTTAAAGTGAAAATCTCATTGGAGCTCATCTGTTTTCTTATTATATGAGTAGTTCTTATTATTGTTTTACGATATGCTTTGATGTTATAATTGATTTTCTTATCCGTAAATGTTTACAAATGTATTATAGTATTGTCTTCAATTTCAATCATCACTAATAAAGATAGTAGTCACCTTTTTCAATAAACTTTGAACTTATGAACATGTATATTTTTACATGGAAAATCCAATATGATATTAAGAACTATTCTATTGCGAGAAATATGATTAATAATCATAATTTTCATTAAGAAATGTTTAAATTCTTAAATATAACATTATTCAAAAGAAATATTTAGAAGATTATAGGCGAAAACCAAATTTTCTCTATAAATTAATAATTGTTAATTTATAGATAAATTAATATCACGATAAATTTATAAAATATCATGGTCTCGACATTATTAATTTATAGAGGTTTAGGGACAGTGTGATTTAAGTCTGGGAGATGATTTCATCCCTTACTAACCACATTTTTTTTCATGAGTCTCTATATTCTGCATTTTTTTGTTTTTTCTTTATTTTTTTTTCAATTTTTCAAGTCTTTTCAAAAGTAGAAATACGTTGATGGAATGATGATAGAAATCCATGAAAATAACCGACCACTGTGCTTCTACACTATCTCCTAGTAACATGCTCTTTCATAATATGGTTATAGACTAGGCGAAAATATTTGTGATGCAAAAAAAACAAAACATACATTTACGATTTCTTATCATTTTTACCACTCTTTGCTGATCCTGAATGGCTATTTCATCTTTCGTTAGTTCCTCACCTTACCTTTCTCTTTCTGATTCCATGTACTCTTGTTTTCTATTGTCTTATATGCAGATATGTGCAAAAACGTCAGTGAGAAAATGAACTCACAGTTTTCAGTCACTAAAGATGAAGACTGTACTTTATTGGTGGAGGAGATTTCCAAGAGCCTTACTTAACCCTGGAAACTCAAAAACATGGTATATATTCGTGTCCTTAGACTTTTTCTCTATAAAAAATGTATTTCCCCCTAAAAATAAAATCGATAAAAAGAAGAGAAAAGGAAATAAAAGCCTAGACAACTCGTAAGGATAGTTCATGAGTTTCCTAGGAGTCTATATATGCATTCACATTGGAGAAGTTGAAGTTTTTCTTATTGATTCCCAAAAAAAAAAAAAAACTAAGTCTAGGGAGTTACGAACAAGATATCAAGAAATAAGGAATGTGTTACAACTATTTAGCAAGAAGAAGTGACTGGAAGCTATAGATATAAACAGGCCATTATGTTTTGCAATGTTGCATAATATCTTGCATTATCTAAAGCTCAAGGTAACCCTAAACACTTTAACTCCACCACTTAAATAGACATTTTCTATACAAAACGAGGTCTACCCTGGATGAAAATTTTAATGAGAGCTCACGGAAATGCTTAATGAGTGTAGAGAGCTAGTTGAACAGAATCAAGATCTAGGTTGTTTAGATTTTGCATGACGGAACCATGGATTAGTGTCATATTTGTTTTGGTGGAAATTTTCTATGCTAGGTTGTGGTAGATGTAGTTTGATGGAAGGATGGTCTCTGAGATTTTGAGTTCCCTATGATTTTTGCTAGACTTTTCCAAGCTTGGAGTTTGTTTTGTTTGAGGACAAACAAAGATTTAAGTCTTGGGAGTTGATAACAACGTATTTTTGCCTATTTTCATTTATGATTTCTTATGCAATATCAAATATTTTATTTAGTTTAAGTGCTTTATTATGTTTTTCTTATATTTGTAGTTTCAAGACTCTTTTCAGGTTACTTAGGAAAAAACAATGGAATGCTTAGAAAAAAACAATGCAAATTGGAGAAAACCCAGATTTTCAGCTCAACGTCAAACTGTCAGAAGTCCACTCTCAAGTGAAGACATTTTTCAATGTCTGATCCAGCTTGAATTTTGAAACATTCAAGAGGGACCTGCTAAATTTCCATTGCACTCTACTTGAGGACAATCCAACGGTTCACCCAAAATATACATGACGATCAAGATGTCATGTTAAATATCCTGATCTTTATCCGAGCCACGGAAAACATAAGCATGGCCGCGTCCCTGAGAATGCAGCCGTGGAGAATTCATCCTTGGCCACTCCTAGAGAATCCTGACCCGCGG